CAATTGGAGTGTGATATTGGCCCAGTGTCATTTGGGCTAAACACTTCATTCCGGTCCCAAACAATAGCCTCTACGGGACTTAGAAATTGAACATCCCAGCTCTTAACCTCTCTTCCTTTCCAGCCGTGGAGCTGAGCCCAGGGTATCCAAGACTTGGCATGCGTGATCCCAACAGCCTCCCTTTGGGGTTGGTGCCTGCAATCCTGTAGGGGCGGGGACACTTACTCTTCATCCTGGGGTAGTGAAGGCTGAGCTTGCACAGGAAATAGGAGTGTCCCCCACCCACGATGCAGCCATATACCCCAGCTCTTGCCTGTCTGCTTCTCAATCAAAAGCTTCCTGGGGAGACATGATCCAAAAATCCCAGCTCTGTGAGGCACTCTGGTCCTCCTGCGTGGCTGATCTCAGCAAGATGGAGCTGGTCCAGTGATTCAACAGGTGAGGGGCGGGGGTAGCCTGCTGTGTGTTTGAGGTGTGGAAGACCAGCTCTTTTCAAAGCCACACAGTTTAGTCACTGTCTAAGTCCCCATCAAGAGCCTCCCCAGAAAAAAGAGGACCTCAAAAGTCACTGCTGGGTTCAGCCTGCGGTCCCTATTGCAGGACCTGAGTATAGCAGAGTGGCCTTGCCAGCAGTCAGAGACCAGGCAGTGTACTCCCAATCTGGTGCCATAACAATAAGAATGCTTGCCCCTGGGAAGGTAGCATCTGAATTTCCCATGCAGCCTGAATCCACACTTATTTCCTCTGCCAGATGCTACATAGGCTCCTCTTTCCATCTCTGTTGCTCTGGGTTGGGATCCCTGAGTGGGGTGGAGAGGAGTTTTGCAGCCATGACATCCCTCCAGTTTTTCAGCTGCTGCACCTGTGTGCAGGGGATAACCCTTTCCACATTTCCATCCTTCTTACCAGTCTTTTTGTGGTTTCTTCTGTAAATCCTTGGTTATAATGTTTCAGTTCAGCTAGCCTCCAGTTGGTTATTCAGGTTGATTGCTCTATAATTTAGCTGTAAATCCAGTTTGGGGTGAGCAGGTGAGTGTAACTTCCACCTACTCTACAGCCATCTTCAAATTGATACTATATTTTTTAGATTCTCCTTTTATTCTTTTCTTTCTCAGTTTCCTTTGCTAGCTCGTCCTCCTCTAGTTGATCCTTAAATATTGGCACTCCTCAAATCTCTATCCTAGGTCTTCTTTTTTCTTCTCATTCCATATTTTTGTTGTAAATCTCATTATATCACTAAATTACTATTTGTACACAAAAATTATTCCTGTTTTGAACCATTTCCCCACCATTTCCACTTGAAGTGATGCCTCAGAAGCAGCTATATTGGTTTCAAGGCTGACTGCATCTTTCTTATCTTCCAGTGGTCTCTGTTTCATTATAGAGCACAACCATTCAACCAGCTGTTCATGCTCAGAACCCAGAAATCATTTTTTATTTTTCACATCTTAATTACCAAAGCTGGTTGGTTATATCTCCTAAATGTCTATGGAATCTGTCTACTCTGCATTTCTTTGCCATCCTAGCCCAAGTCACTATAACCTCTTACCTGGTCTCCTGCAATAGTCTCCTAACTAAATCCCCATTTACTCTTGCCTCAAAGTCCAAAGCACCTTCATGTTGTACACAGGGCAAGGAGACACACACCATTAGTGAGTGATACACTGTTTAATTATAGAATAGGTTTACCAAGAAAAACTTACTGGGTTAGCCAAAAAGTCCATATAAGGTTTTTTCCATAAAATAAAAGACACATTTTTCATTTTCACCAATAACTTTACTGATCTGGATATTTTGAGTATGTTGGGTATCTCCCGTGTGGCAGAACATTGATCGTTTTCAATTAATGTCTTGACTTGGTCGCTATTAACTTTGGTCTACATGACCGTGGAGCATTGTCCAGCCAAAAATCTCCAGCACAAAACTTTGCAAAAACACTTTTGACATGTTTGATCAGTCACAGCACCTTCTCCATACAGTACAAAAATCTTTTTTTTTTTTGCACTTCAGTTGTGTTTTTAACCTTTCTTGAAATAATAAAGCATAATATGCTGAAAATATTGCATATTTTATTCCATCTTCAATATTAAAATGACTACACAAAAATTCACCAATTTTAATGTTTTTTAAAAAATGCACGCTGATATGACAGCTGTCACAATACAATCTACCGAAATTGTTTTAAATGAAGTTGAAGACAACTAAGTGCTACTAGAGCCATCCTGTGGGGAAAAAAAACCAAATGAACTTTTTGGCCAGCCCAATAGAAGGAGAGAGAAACAGCAGAGTGCACACATACTCTGAGCTATCATTATCTCACAGAAAGACACAGTTAGGCCAAAAACAGACATATGATAGAAAGTGCTCCTGAAGGGGCACTCCCGCCCCAACTACACAGGAACACTGGGAAAACTTGCTGACTAGGAAAGGATTCCTGGTTAGGGATACGGCCTCAACAGAAAAGAGAACATCTAGAGCTCAGTTTTGGGAGGTGGTATAATAATCAGCAACAAAAGCCAGAGACCTTGTTTTCCTATTGAACTATCCGTTCCTACTGAGCCAAAAAGAGAGAACAAAAAGAACCACTGGGCCATCAAGAAACTTTCTTGTCTTAACTCAAGATCAGGTATCTGCCTATCTTTGCAGTCTTATTTCATACTTCTTACTTTCTATGCTTCAGCCACACAGGCCTTCTTTTCATTCTTTAAGGAGTTAAGTTCTTTCCCTCCTCAGGGCCTCTGCACACATGTTGCTTAATTATTTTTATTTATATTATTTATTTTGCTAACTAATTAAACTCCCAGAAGATCCTTTTCCAGGTCTCATTTTTTTTTTTTTTGTTAGCTGAAACTAGCCTCTTTTATTGAGAGTTATCAAAGCCAAACTACAACTGAGATGAGAAAACCATATCTAAATTCTCCATGACAGCACATTAATAAAAACAACAAAAGTTCAGGCCTCAGTTTAAATGTTACTTCTCAAAGAAGTCTTTCCTGACATCCTCAACCAGGTTATAAGTCCTAATAAAAGCACTCAGTATACTACCCTTTCCAGAGTGTATCTCAATAGAAATAATAACTATTTGTGCAATTATTCAACACAGGTCCCTTACCAAAGTAGGAGGTCCTTAAATGGCAGCAACCGTAGCTGCCTTAAGTGGCAGTCCTACTTATTAGCTGAGTGCTCAGACATAATCATGCTCAACAGTTATTTATTAAATGAATGAAGTGTAGACCTGAAGACAGCAGGTAAAGCAAGATGACTTAGCAGTATTTATTATGTAGTGGTAATTCTAATTCTGATGTTTTTTGGCCTTAGATTTTTGAGGAGTATGTATGACTCTGGGCCCACAACTAGCACACATCTAGCTCAAATGTGGGAGCAATATAAACGAACACTTTCTATAACTAATACAGGAGTAAGAGAGCTAGGGTTTAGAATATTTTTTGTGAGCAAACAAATAATTATTTTACACTATTTTGTGCAATTTATTGATTAAAATGTTGAAGGAAATATGAAGACCTGATTCCTAATTTCAATAAGCTTATTTTTCACTTAGAAAAATAAGACACATTTACCAAGAAAACTGGTAACTAGGAACTCATCAATAAGGGCAAAGTAAGGATGATATGACCCACAACAGCTAGAGAAAGACAGGTAGAAGAATGATCCTCAGCCTTACCCTTATCTTCACATTAAAACCACCTGGGAGCATTTAAAAAAATACAGATGCTCCAGGTTCCACCTCCAGGGATGTTGCTTTTAGTTGGTGATGGACTCTGTGCATTAGTTTTTTTTTTTTAAATCCTCACCTGAGGACATTATTTCATTGCTTTTAGAGAAAGAGGAAGGGAGAGAGAAACATCAATGTGAGAAAGAAGCATTGACTGGTTGTCTCCTGCATGCACCTGGATAAAGGATCCTACACATCTGGACTGGGGATTGAACCCGCTACCTAGGTGTGTGCCCTAACAGGGAATCAAACCCTCAACCTTTCAGTTACAGTATGACACACCTATCAACTGAGTCACACTGGCCAGGGCTGTGCATTGGTATTTTTTTAAAAGCTCCCCTGGTAGTACTACCATGCAAACTGGGTTGAGAACCCCTGGGGTAAAAAGAAAAATAGTAGCTTTACTGAAGGGTTGGTATTCAAAATGCTCCTTACAAGGTGAAATTTGGATAGGTAAAAAGGAGTGGGATCTTTTTAAATAAGGATTAATGAGTAATAAATGGCAGTAAGGTGCAGAAATGTAAAAGTATAAAGTGTATATGGGGATGGAGGATTATTAATGAGTCAACAGGCCATTATGCCTGAACTGGTGTTGGCAGAGGGCAATAGTAGAAAACACTTTGCATAGTTATCCTCTAGGCACTGAAGTTATCCTCTAGGTACTACTGAACATTTTTGCTAATTATTGACACAATCAGAGCAGTATTCTACCACAGATGTCTAGGTATAAACTGATAAACTCCTAAATTAGGTGGTAGCTATAACAATGAAAGGGAAGGATAAAGAGATAACGAAAGGGATGAATCCGTAAGATTTTCTGGGAGAGCCATAAATGGCATGATAAGACTTTACAGTCACACAGATACCACTAATAAAAGCAAACACTATCATAAAAACTATCATAAAAACAAATCTTGATCCTTTCTTCTAAACTCCTTTAGCACTCAAATATAAACATTCATCATTAGCAGTCATCCTAGTTCTATCTCTAGGGTTTATTTATTTTTTCTTAAAAAAGAAATAAATATGTTTTAATATGCTTGTGCATGTATATGTGAAAAAAGAAGTTGAGATTTAAATTAAAAAAAACAAACAAAATTTGGCTAATCCATTTCATCCTAAAGAAGTACTTAATAATTACCTTCATAATTTGATGGTTAAGGAATATTATGCTATTTTTTTTTATTTTGAAGCAGATCATAAGACAAGTCTACATCAAGTTCCTTTAACTTCAAATAACAATTAAAGAGCTATTTCTAGATCATACCTTGTATTTGGTCATGGTGCTAAAATGATTATTCCGAAAGAACACACAAAGTTCTCCTTCCTGAACCGTTGAAGTTAGTTCACATAATCCATGGTATGTCAGTTGAGTGGCTGTGTTATTTAGAAACTGTTCAGCTACAAAGCCTATGGAACCAATGCATAATATTAGATGGAAGAATAATTTTAAAATTTAAAAAGTTTTCCTATTTACATTGTGTTCCAACTATGAAGAAAGGCCAGTCAGAACAAGACTTCTCTTTTACTATAACATTATGGCCGCAAATTGGAGATTCTACTTTTTCATTTTAGAAGACATGTCTATAGACATTCCCATGCTAAAGAAACAGTTACGAAATTCTTTTATGTTAATGTATTTACATATACTTTACCTACTTTCAAAAATGATTTCAGGCAGCTTGCAACAAAACACACAGACACAATAAAACTAAAACCCACTAAAACAAATAAGGCAAGAGTTAGCAATTTAAAAAATGTGTAGGAGCAAGAGATGTACGTCAACAACTACTTCCCCAATGATAGGTGTTTAGAAATTAAAAGTGGCCTTAACAAACTGAGTTGCTTAAGATTTTTAACCAAGGTCCCAAGTAATTCTCAATTCACAAACAGCTAAACTCTTGGCTTAAAACTAAAAGTAGGTATAAAATTGAAGACAAAACAGTGGATAACTGGTGCCATTTTTATCCTAATCTCCAACATATACCACTATATATGAGGGGGGACTCTTCCTCCCCAAAAATGAAAGTATCTTCTGGAGGGTGGGCCCCTTGTAGTACAGGCTTCCCATACTAGGAGAGTGTTCTAGGACCCATCTGTGTCAGTGTACCATACCATCTAGGACCATCTGTATCAGCTAGTGCTGTTTTGAGAGGCTGCATTTGGTTTCAGCGATTTTGTTCTGAAGACATTTTCAATGCATTTGTCCATTTCAGGATGGGTGATTTATAAGCTCACCTGCCCACACCATGCGGAGTGTTCATCAGTTTTTGACCAAAGCAGCATGACCCCTATGCCCCACCCTCCCTATTGACCTGATTTTGCCCCCAATTTTTTGTTTGTTTGTTTCTGCAGATAAAAAAAGTCCTCAAAGGGAAACATTTTGCCAATGTGGAAGAGGTGAAACAAAAACAAGAGTAGCAAAACACAGCCTCAAAATCAAGATCAAAACTGTTCTGAGCAGTGGAAAAAATGTCCCAGTAGGGTATTGCATAAAATGGAGAGTCCTTTGAAGGTGACTGAAGTTTTAACATATAAGAATAAATACACAATTTTTTATAAATTCTGGGTTTTTTTGGTTCCTCCTTCTATATGTGTATTATATATATTGTGTGTATGTGTGTGTGTATTTATTTCAGAAATAGAAATGATCTCTTTTGTTTTCAAAATATATAGAAGTTTTTGGGGTTTAATTTAAAAGATGTATGTATAGTTGACTCTTGCTATTGGTCAAATTTGCCTACTTGCTAAAATTTATTTATAACTCCAAAACCAATACTTGCTATGCTTTCAGGGTCATTCCTGGATATGTGCAAAGCTGCAAAAAAACTGAGTCACCAAACATGGACATTCCTCACTGAGGTCAAAAAATGCACACTCTGCCTTGGTTTAGCTCTCATACTGTAAACAAATATCCTTTCCGCAGTTAACTGAGTTCCACATTCTTCCCATTCTGGTGCTTTTTGGGGAGTGATATTTACTGTGTAAAATGGTCCCTAAGTATAATACTGGAGTGCTCACTAGAGTTCCTAAGTGCATAAAGGCTGAGGTGTGGCTGTGGAGAAAGTAGAAATTTTTGCAGCTTTGTTCAGATGAGTTATAGCGATGTTGGCCATGAGTTTAACATTACCAAATCAATAAAATATATTAAATAAGGTGTCTCTAAACAGAAATGCACATAAAACAAGGTAATTTTTTATCAGTTGATGAAAATCTTGTGACTAGAGGCTCAGAGGGAACCTAAGCTTGTGTTTCCCATAGGAACACCGGTTTGTTATTCACTAATTAATTCGGATTTTATAGCAACTTTACAGAACAGTAATTTTTAACCAGTGTGCTGCAAGAATTATTAAAACATGCAATACCTGACTACTTAGTCAAGGGCGCAGACCTCTTTTCCCTTTGACTGTCGAATAAAAAATGACAACAGCCAATACAACAATAGCCATCTGATGTGAATGAATCAAACTTACACCTATCTTTTTGGGGCGGGGGGGTCCAATTGCCAAAATATATTTTTTGGCGTGCCATGGAATTTTAGTAATTAGTTTATGTGTGCCATGAAATGAAAAAGGTTTGAAAATCACTGTTATAGAACATAGCTAGTGGGAATGAGAACTGACTATAAATATTTTAAAAGCCTGTATGTCTCTTTTCCCACCTTTTTCTCTTCCTCCTTTTGTTTCCTTCCTTTAATAAAGAAGAAAAGTCTCAGAAATAATAGGAGGGAAATAGTGCTCTAAAAAGTTTTATAAGTCAGCAGAGAGGGGCAAGTATGGGCAGTAAAGTTGAACCTGTGTTCAGAAACTGATACCTCAACGAGGAATTGAAAACAAACTTGGCAGTGCTAAAGGTAGCTGGAGAGTACAGGTATTCCACTCACTCTCCACCTCACACCTTTAGTATCAAGCCACACCACATCAAGCTATAAAGTGGCTGTAAAAAGTTACCAATATATCACACTATTCCAAAAAATTGGTTAAAGTAGGAGGGGAAGTGCAAAACATTATACAGAAGGCCACAGCTAAAGGAAATTTATAGCCATTTACAACTTCTGGGGTTTACAAATTTAGAAGTAGAGTCATCCCCCTCAATTGCTATTATTACTTTGCTAAATATCAAGTTACTGAGTAAAATATGTGGGTTATATACTAAAGCACTTACTGTTATATAGCATTTTAAAAGTAAGTATAATGCCTGTGCTGAGAAGTACCACTGCTGTGTTACTAAATACTTCCTTAACAAAGATGCTTCTAAATGTTCCTCCAACACATCATTCATACAGTGTCCACTCTAGAAATCCTTTCTAAGAAACACAAATATTTTCTCTGGCTGAGTAGCTCAATTGGTGAGCAGTACCCCAATACACCAAAGTTGCAGGTTTGATTCCCGGTCAGGGAGACACACAAGAAGCAACCAATGAATGGATAAAGAAGTGAACAACACATCTATGTTTCTCTTTCTCCAAGACTAATACAAAAAAGAAAGAAAACTTTCCTTTTAAAAAAAGACACAAAACATTCAATGGAGATATAGCTCAACATCACTTTCACGTGCATGAAATTCAAAAATTCAACATTAGAAACGTCTTCCTCAGTTTCTCTCTATAGAACAGGACAGATGCTCAGAGACAATAAGTGGTTTTCTCAAGGATAAAACTTCTTGTGGAAAAATGAAGACTGGAACCCAGGACAATTATTGGTATCGGTAAAAAATTAACTTATTATCACAAATGCAAACTGAATTGTTATTTCTTCCCGAACAATAAAGCCCAGTATTTAAACCTATAGAGAACAATGTTTCCTAATTCTTCTACCAACTCCTGTGATTTCAGAGGAATATTCAATAGTCTAATCTGGTTTCAACTTTTCATAACTAATTAAACAAATTTTGGTAAACAATTTTAAGTGTTACACAGCAGTTTATTTATCTGCATTGCTTCAAATGACAAGTTTATTTGCAACATTTAGATTAAATTTCAATTTTATTGTTACCGATAGTGTTATTAATGATACTAAAGTAAGGTGAAAATTAATATAATTGTAACAATAATATTACTGAAAATAAATTAAAATTAAAAATTATTTTCCTGACATCAGTGTGTTTGAAAATATCTCCTAGTTTCAGAAAGTCAATACTAACTTAGTTTATCAAATTATTTTCCTTTATTAATGAGGAGTTATTAGAGAAGATGAAAAGTACTGACTGCCTAAGTGAAGTTAGAACGAGGGGCACTAAAATTAGGCAAAAAGAACAAAAAGAGGTAGTAAGATAAAAGAAAAGTCAAATTATTTAAAAATGTTGCCTAGTGGCCCTGGCTGAGACTTGTGTTCAAATTTAAACTCAATCAAAACTGAACTGTCACTGTGATACCTTTAAACAAATGATGTGATTCTCTTTTTAAATTCATCTAGTGTCAAGTTTCAAAAATCAAACACAGTGTATTAATATTTTTCCTCAAGAGAATGGGACAAAAAAAATCTTTTAATATGAAAAATGCCCATATAGCCTTTGAAAATATAGGTGCTCATATAATTTGATTCCAGGGAAGTAGTATGGAGCCCAGAACTTCTTATTGTGCTAGAAAACAAAGAAGTTCTCACGAAGTGATGAAGACATGTCCAAAGAAAATTGGATCTAGCTTGAGACCATCCAACTGGCCACATCTGGGATAATTCTAAGCATTGAAAAGAATAATGATGATAAAGAATCTATAACATGCTGAATAAGAAGCTATCCATGAATCTACATTGACAAAGAAATTTTTTAATGGGGGAAGGAAGAAAAGGGAAACTATTTTCATAGAATGCCAATTAATAAATGGAAAAGGGATAACAGAAATATCATAAGCACCATATAAATAATTCATTCAGCAAGAATCATGAAATGCCAACTTTACTGGGTGAAAGATTATTAGGAAATGGTATTCACACAGTTTCAAAGCATAAACATCAGAGATTACTTATTAATTACAAGGGCAAAGGGCTTTACAACAAAAAACCTAGCAGATACCACCTTAATCATTGTGAACATCACCAATAATGAAATAATCATCATGAGCCACCTGATTTGATGCACTGGGGAAGACACAATGTCACCTATGCAGTTCTTCCACCAAAAATCTATAATCTAAATCTACTAAGAAAACAATCACATGAATCCAAATTGAGAACTATTGCACAAAACAAGTGGTCTGTACTATTAAGAAAAGTTAATGTCACAAAAGAACAAACAGAAAAACAGAAAGAAAAAAGGTTAGGGATCTGTTTTAGATTTTGAGAGACTAAATTGATATAATTAGATGATTCTTGATTGAAGCCTACATTGAAACATTTAAAAGCTGTAAGGTGCATTATTAGGACAACTGGGGAATTTTGAATATGAACAGAATATTAGATAAGAATATTGTATCAATAATAAATTTCTTGATATAATTTTAAGGTGATTACATAGGAGAATTCTTTGTTCTTAGGAGACAAATGTTGAAGCATTAATGGTTAAAGTGCTATAATATTTGCCACTAATTCTCACATGATTTAGGGAAAAACATGTAGGTATGAGAATACAGAAAGAAAGCAAAAATTCAGTATGTCAATAACTGGTGAATTTAGATGAAGCATGTACATGCACACACAGGCACATATATTCATTGTGCTATTCCAATGTTTTTATGGGTTTGACATTTTTCAAAATAAAGAATTATTTAACCAAAATTATATGAATTTAAACTATAATCTTCAGTATGTATATCACACAATAAAGGTTCAATAAATATTGGAATTAATGAATATTTTGGAATTATTTCTTTAAAAAAAATATATATACATAAACCTGGAAACAATTGTTAAGGAAGAAATTATTCCTGAAAGATTATCCGGAATTAAATGACCAACTCTGGTGAAGTCTGGCAGCTTGTACTGTGCTATTTTTCTCATTGCTGTTTTTTACTGCCTTGCCACAACCCATCATTATAACTAAATTCAAAAAAGTATGAACACCCAGATGAGTTACCAAATAATACATACTCTGTACATGTAAAAGTTTTGTGCTTTTACTTTAAAAGTGGTGCCATCAAAAGAAAATGAATATCATCTGAAAGCATATTTAATTATATTTGACTCTCAGCTAAATAAAATTTATTTTTTATCAGAAAGATAATATAAGTATTTCTAGTATTCTGAACCTCATAAACATGAAATATCTGAATTTAAAAAATTAGTTACTATCTAATTTTTTAAGACTAAAGATTTTAGTCTTTAAAAGACTAAATTTAAAGATTTTAAATTTAAGACTAAAGATTAATACATTTTAATAAAGAAGAATTGGAAAAAAAACACCATTTGGATATTTTATTGATTCAGAAGGAAAGCTACAGTTGTATGAAAAACAGAAAAGAAAGCAGATTATTACTCCAGTTGAACACTATTCCCAAGAAAATATGATGAAAGAAATGATAGAGGGGAAACTAGTTGCTACATTGTAAGTAAAAATGTCCATTGTGGCCTCTTCTTTCCTATATGATTTCTTAGAGCCCTATACAAGTAACCATTGGGGTTAAATAATTATTTCAACCAGACTACACATTTGTAGTTTTTTATAAACAAAAACTAGTTTAGCTTTATAATTATAATGAATTCTCTATATAATTATTCCTTGATCTGGAAATCTGATATACAGAATTTCATCATTATAAAATCTATATATATCAAGGAATTAATCAATTCTGGTATACATTACACCAAAATCTTATACCATTAAAGATAATCTCTTCCTTCCTTTTACCAAGACGCTCTTCTCAAGTTATAAATACTATATAAATTAGACCTTATTTTTCATTATCCTGGGGAGTCAATGTCAGAGAAATAATAATAGTAATAGTTATAGTTGTAACATCAGGCTGAGAAAAAGGAGAAGTGAAAAAGGGACTGAGGTTTGTTGTTGTTGTTGTTGTTGTTGTTGTTGTGCATTTGTTAATTAGTGTATTACCTAAGTCTTACCTTATTACATTACAGCCCAACTTGGGAAAAATGCTGTTAAACTGTTTCCTATAGCTTCTTACCCTATATAGCTATTCACCCAAATATCATTTCTTGGTTATCATTCTATTAATACTTTTTGAATCCTATTGTTTGCTCAATTACTAATGAAAAGCATATTGGAAACTTTCTATATAGCCTGCTTTTTAGGAATATATTTATAGTAATAAAAGACTGAGTAAGTTCTAGTGAGTGAAATTTTGTTAATTGAGAGAAAATACTTTTAACAGCTTTTGTTGCTCTTCCTCCCCCTAAAATTTAAACTTTGCTGCCTTGGGTAGCAGTGAAAGAGGTGTCATGCAAATCAATGATCAATATCCCTGTATATTTATTTATGTGTTTACTGCAAGTAGAAAACTAGGATAAACCTCAACTAAAATACAGTATATTTTCTTGCTACTTGCCTCTTGTGTAAACATGCTAAACTTACAGGGAGTAATATAATTAGTCGGGTTGTGATTAATCAATATAGTATTGGATTTGTGTATACGTCTTCTATGTTCTCATACACTGTTGTAGTCACTTAACTTTTAAATAATGTAGTAACTGTAAAACATATATTATAATAATACACTACATATAAAAGAATCATGTGTCTAAAAATAATAAAGCTCACTCCTTGCTTTTCATGATTTCTCTTCCTTTTTTTCACCCTTCAAACAGAGGAGAATAGCAGCCGCCATATTTGAGCACGTTTATGAAAAAGTGAAGTGGGTTAGGGGGAAGGTACATCCAAATGCTATGGCTCCTGAGAGCATTCTGGCTTCAAATTTGCTCTTCCCTTCACTGTTTGTAATACAGCTGAAATAATATGAAACTCCTTCTATATGATGAATTTAACAATTTTAGTTAGCTAAGGATTAGGAAAACTGAATGATTAAGGGTATACTTTGATCCAGAATGGAGCTTTACTATACTATTTATATTGTACCAAAACATAAGACAGAGCCCTATGAAAATGAACACGTGAATACCGTAATGTTAATTTCAGTCAACTGGAGTGTTCAGGATGAATTATAAAGTTGGTGTAGTACTCCCAAATAATAATCATTTATAAAAAGAGATATTATCAGTTACCCTTGGGTATCTGGCCATATGAAAGCTGGCTAGAGATTCCAAAGACTGTTATTAAAATCCAGGCCTCATTTTACAAGTCGAATAAAGAGGTTTCTAGAAAAAAACCTTTCACTGGCACCTTTATGAATAATTATTTATTTTAATTCCTACAAGTAGCAACACTTGTGTTTGAGAAGTCTTATTTCAGACATTTACAAGACATTAAATTATCAGACAAGTTATTTTGCCATGAGTAAGTCAGGTAATAGCAACACTCACCCACCTTCACTAACCAGCTCACTATTGTCTGACTGCTTACAAGAGATGATCTTCTCCACTAGTTGGTTGTAGCTGCAGTTACCAACAGCTTTTACAATGTCATCAATCTAGAAAACAAATGACTGTCTCACTAATCATGATTAAGATTAAAAACAATAACAAAGAAACCTGTATCACTCTTTAGGGTATTTTATTTTATTCAAATACAATACTAAGTTTACAAATACTACTTATAAAAAAAATCAGCACTAAAATTAACACCCAACTGTTTCCAATTTTGCTTACAATTATAACATATAAAAAATATTGCTCAGCTGTATTTCAATTATGCAAAAAATAATTAAATGAGATTATTACATGCAACTTTATTTCTTCAAGTTGTAGATTCACTTAAGTGATTAAAATAAAAAATAAACTATTTCAGGAGGAAAAATGAGAAAATCTCAGGGTTTTTTTTAACTAAAATACAAATGTTTTACATTTAAAGGAGGCAAATTTAAAGAAGAAAGGTGTTAATAAAGTTTTTCATTTTGTTTATTTACTTCCAAGCCAAGTATGGTGGAAATATGAGTAGACATAACAAATTTTGTTTTCCTGAAGAAAACTTAATGCATATTAATCAGGAACAGAAATTGCCTAGTGATTCTTATTTAATATTTGTCACTGGTGGTACACTAGAGAAGTAAATTTAATGTTTTAAGCCATAGGAAAATAAAATTGGGCATCTCTACTTTCCCTGCATTATATTTTGATTATTGCAGAAAAAATAGATTTATACTGTATAAACAATGTATTTTTACTTCAATCTCATCCCTACAATATATTTATAAACTACTTACATGTACTATTATATTAATAAAATATATGCATAATAAAACAAGTACAAATTAATACAATGCTATAAAAACTAAAGAGGGCCAATGTTTTCTTTCCACATCCAAATGATCTTCTTGAATACTTACTCTTTGAATACCACAAATTTTGACATTTATCTGCACAAGTAATAATACTCTAAACAGTAGTTTCCAAACTGGGAAGCTTGTTAAGAAGCTTTAAAAGAACTGTAGCTCAAGCTGCTTCTCAATTGTCTAAGTTTTATTTCACTGCTGCAGTGCAAAGACTGAGAACAACTGCTATGCTTGAGGCTATAATTCATTCTCCTTGTTCCTGCAAAATCCTACTATGGTAAAAAGAAATTCTTAACAATGCAAGTGGGACTGATGGTTTGTTGAGAAGACCAGTTAATTGAAAAAGTCAAAGCAGTGAATTGTGGAAAATGTCATATACATATCATAAACATTTCATATTACCTTGTCAATCTTTGGATGCAGAGCCAAATAAGGCTTTAAAAAGAAAAGTCTATCGGCTATGGGTCTTTGTAAACCACATAAAAAAAAGAGTATGATTTCCACTTTTGGTTCATTTAAAAAGAAAACTTAAACCCTTCAGAAGCAATTTGAGGGCAAATTCCTTTATATTTTCATTACTTTTCTTAACACTTTAATTGTTTAGAGCAATTTTATTTAGTGAGTCAACTTCATTGTCTTCCAAAGAATCTAAATTTTCAATATTAAGGAATCCACAAAAATAAAACTAGAATATAAAATACTGGATCAATATCCAAAAATCAATTGTACTTCTACAGACCAACAATGAACAATACAAAATTTTTCAAGTTTTCATAGGCTTAATCTCTGCAATAGTATTTAATTAAATTAATTCATTTGGGTGCCTTTTATGCACTACTATATACCAGGTCCTGTTAGAGAAACTGCAGATGGAATAGTGAACAAAAGAGATGATCAATGCTTTCAATAAAGTTTATATTCTGGAGCAAAGACAAACGATTAACCAAATAATCAAATATATAATATGCTAGGTAGTTGTATGTAGTGATATGCAGCTGTTCTTTTTCATTGTTCTGAATATACTGTAATGTATTTATTTATCCCCTTAAGTACTATAAATTATTTCATTTTTAATTATATTTTATTGATTATACTATTACATTTGTCCAAATTTTTTTCCCCTTTTCCCCCCTCCAGCCAGCATCTACCACCCCCTCAGGCACTCCCCACAACGTTATTCATGTCCATGGGGATCGTGCATGTAAGTTCTTTGGCTACTCCATTTACTACACTGTACTTTACACCCCCATGGTTCTTCTGTGAGTACCTGTTTGTACTTCTTAATGGCCTCACTTCATCACCGATTTCCCCAAACCCCCTTCTCATCTGGCAACTATCATAACACTCTCTGTACCATGATTCTATCTTTGTCCATGTTTACTTAGTTTGTTTTTTAGATTCAATTGTTGATAAATATGTATTAATTGCCATTTTACTGTTCATAGTTTTGATCTTTTCTTAAATTAAGTCCCTTTAACATTTCATATAATGATTTTGGTGATAATGAACTCCTTTAGTTTTTTATTGTAAGGGAGGTTCTTTATCTGACCTTCGATTCTAAATGATAGCTTTGCTGGGTAGAGCAATCTTGGCTATACGTTCCTGCTTTTCAAGACTTTGAATACTTCTTGCCAATCCCTTCTAACCTGCAAAGTTTCTTTAGAGAAATCAGCTGTCTGTCTTATGGGAACTCCCCTGTAGGTAACTAACAGCTTTTCTCTTGCTGCTTTTAAGATTCTCTCTTTATCTTAACTTTTGGCATTTTAATTATGATGTGTCTTGGAGTGGGCCTCTTTGCACTCATCTTGTTTGAGATTCTCTGTACTTCCTGGACTTGCACATCTATTTCCCTCACAAAATTAGGAAAGTTTTCTTTCATTATTTTTCAGATAGATTTCCAATTTCTTGCTCTTTCTCTTCCCCTTCTGGCACACATTTGATGTGACTGTTGGAATGCTTCAAGTTGTTCCAGAGGCTACTTACACTGTCCTCATTTTGGGAGGGGCTCTTTTTTTCATTTTGTTGTGGTTGGTTGTTTTTTGCTTCCTTATGTTCCAAATTTCATATTTGATTCTCAGGTTCATCCACTCTACTGTTGTTTCCCTGTAAGGTGTTCTTTATTTCAATTAGTGTATCCTTTGTTTCTAACTGGATAATTTTTATGCTATTGAGGTCCTAAGTTCCTTGAGGATCCTTATAACCAGTGTTTTGAACTCTGCATCTAATAGACTGCTTATCTAATTTTGTTTAGTTCTTTTTCTGGAGTTTTGATCTATTCTGTCATCTGGGCAATGTTTCTTTCTCTCCTCAGTTTGGCAGCCTCCCTCTGTGTGTTTTTCTATTAGGTAGAGCTGCTAAGATTCCCTCTGTTGGTAGCATAGCCTAATGTTGTAGGTGCCCTGAAAGGGTCCAGTGGCACAGCTTCCCCTATCAACTAAGTTGGTATAGGAAGTGTGCCCTTCATGTGAGCTGAGTACACCCTCCTCTTATAATTGAGTCTTGGTTGATGTTGGCAGGTCAATGGGAGGGATTTACTCAGGGCAGTCAGCTGCAAGGACTGGCTGTAACCACTTACCACCAAACTCTGCCCTCCATGGAGGATCAGCTGTGCAGGGGTGCTCTGACATGGTCTGTAGCTGTCCACTGCATGTGCAGGCTCTGGGCTTTCCAGGTGGTGCAGGTCAAGGTCTGCCCACACCTGTGTTCTGCCTGAGGCCACCCTGCATGAGCTATAAAGCAACCTGAGATGGCTGCTACTTGTGCTGGATTTGTACATTCCCAGGTAAAGCCAAGCTGTGAATACAGGCTGGCTGCTGCTAGTGCTGTGCCTGAGGCTACTTAGCAAGAGGTATGGAGGCCTAGGGCTTGCTGAGGCCAACTGCTGCTTGTTTGATATGATTTAGAAAGTTCTGAAACATGATCCAAGGCCAGCCATTGATATGGAAAAGCTATTGTTAACAGATTGGGTGGTTCCATAAGTTCAGTGGGTGGAGCCTCAAGGATCAAGAGGACAGAGCAAACCATGGCAGCCAGGAAACAGTCTCAGACATGGTCCCTGCCTGTCAGCTCTGTGGCTCTTTTGAGGGAGAGCTCAGAAAAGGGACAACGGCCTTGGCCAGCCTTTCTGTCTGAACAAAAGCTGTCCCCAGCTCTTGCCTTGTCAGACACTCCAGTTTTTCCCTGTATGCCACTGGTCCCTTTCAAGCTGCTACCCCAGTGCTGGTGCTCAGAGGGAGTGAGTCTGAGAAAGCCTGTGTGTGGGTGCTTTAAGAGGAACTGCTGGGGACTCCAGAGTTTCTTCTACTGACTAACCCCTACTGATTTTTGCAGCCAGAAGTTATTGGGATTCTACTTCCTGGCATCGGAACCCTTGGCCCTGGTGTGGGGCTGGGACTTCTTGCTCCAGAGATATCCCTCTGAAATTTTTTTTAAATTTAATGTTTATCGTATTTTTTCCATTAACATTTAGTCCCCTTGTAATGTTCTCCCCTCAGCAATCAACCATACTTTTGTCCATATCCATGACTCCTTTTTCCTTTTTGCTCAATACCTCTACCCTCTAACTCTCCCCAACTAGCTATCATCTGCTTTCCATCTATGAGTCTGTCTCTTGTTTTACTTGTTCAATTTGTTCATTAACTTCCACATATGAGTAAAATCATATGGTATTTCTCTTTCTCTGACTCACTTATTTCACTTAGTATAATATTCTCCTGCCCGCCCATACTGTTGTAAAGGGTAAAACTTTCTTCTTTTTTATGCCAAGTAAAATTCCATTGTGTAAATGTCCCATAGTTGTTTTATCCACTCATCTACTGATGGACACTTATGCTGCTTCCATATCTTAGCAATTGTAAATAATGCTGCAATGAACATAGGGGTGCTTATGGTCTTTCAAATTAGTGTTTTTGGTTCCTTCGGATATATTCCCAGAAGTGGGATTGTTGGGCCAAAAGGCAGATCCATTTTTAATTTTTTGAGGTATCTCCTTACTGCTTTCCACAGTGGCAGCACCAGTCTGCATTCCCACCAACAGCGCAAAAGGGTTCCCCTTTCTTCACATCCTTGCCGGCACTTACTGTTTTTTGATTTATTGATGATAGCCATTCTGACAGGTGTGAGCTGGCATCTCATTGTGGCTTTTATTGCATTTCTCTGATGATTAGTAATGCTGAGCATCTTTTCATATGTCTAGTGGC